TCCACAGCAGATCTGGATTGAGACAAAATAATCAGACAAACGCAGCAAGAAATTAGTCATTAAGAAAAGATATCAATATTAATATCACAGTCTTTATGATCTGAAACAGAGCAGTTGAGAACTTTTACATTTTAATTTAATATTGTGGAAATTCAGAAATAAGACAAGTACCATGTATTTGAATTATAGATCATCACTTGATATGAACTCATGATTAATGTCTTTAAAGAATCGTCTGTGTGTTTTATCTTAATATGACAAAATACATTTGTGTGTGTTTTAATATGTATGCTTTTCTAATGAAATGAGGATTTTAGTCTCACCTTTGAGCTGAGTGTTCTGAAGAAGGTGCAGTGTTGGTAGAAGAGCTCATGGAAGCAGACTCAGCTTTCTTGTTCAGCTTCTCTTCTGCTATCAGAACAGTTTCCATCCCAACTGCACGGATAAGAGTCGGCAGGTAACTCTGTATCGCTGATCTACAGACAGATATGACGATCTTTGTGCTCAGAGATGCAAACTGCAGCTTTGTTCCCTGAAATAATCAAAGACATGTTTCAGGATTTTCCATTTCTTACAGCACCTTCAGTCTGAACACTGTAAAAATGTGTGATCATTATCTTTTCTGTACTTACTGCATTCGGAACATCGCTGCTCAAAGTCCTCCATTCCCTGAAAATCAGTGATTGCATGATTAGTGTGTTGAATAATTTTCTCATGATCATAACAGAGAATGAACCTGAAACCCAGAGAAGAAACTTACTCATCACTCAGGCTGAAGATGATGTCCAGGATGTCTTGGAAGCATCGTAGTTTCTGTGGAGAAGGGGGCTCCTGTGGGGGCTTCCCAGCAGTTTCTTCCCCAGTGAGTTTGTTTCCTCGCTGATTCTGCATTGTCTTATGATTTACTCTAGATTTCTAGAGATCAAATAAAAGTAGCACTCAGATTATTATTAATGATAATAATAATAGTAATAATAATAATAGTGGAGTGAAGGTGTGAGGAGAGTCAGAATCAGAGGAATAGAATCACAGCCTACCTGCAGCAGCTCATCATTATTATGATCTACTGATCAGCTGTTCGGAGTGTTTATATGCGCCGATTCGCCTATTGTGACGTCACCGATTTTTACGGCAGAGTGAGAGAGAATACAGAGTCAATGTAGCTTATCCAGTATATATACAGTATAAACAGACTCATCACAAGGCAGTAATTGAGCAAAAAGTGCTGACTTAACACCTTCAGAATCTGATTTATCAAAGCGCTGAATATCTAGTGTTTCATGAATCTTTACAGTGTGGAGTTTAACCTTGACAGTGGGTGAATCCTCTGTTATTGTCTAGTACAATATTTGGAGTCAGTTCTCCAAAGATCTATGATGTTCTTTCAGGATTGTATTTCCCAAATCCAGCCTCACCACTTTCACCTCTGAACACAAAATGTCTGAAAACTGTAAACGTTCCCTTGATCCACAGATCAGCTTTCATTTTTTCTGCTTAAGATTAAATAGAATTCCAGTAAAAACTTTATTTCACAGCTTCTCTCTTTTTTAATTTAGTTACTTAATTCAAAACGTGGTAACAGATGTTTAAAGACTTCTAAGTTGTACAGAGTAACAGCAATGATAATATAATCATGATGTAATACAATATAATAGTGATGGTACTAGTAGTGTACCAGTGGCAGAACAAACCTGTATTTCATAGCAAGACTATTTTAACACCGTTATTCACTCTTGATGTCTATTGATTGATTCATGTTCTGCAACATACACAACACCAATTCCACAAAAGTTTGGACGCTGTGTAAAATGTAAATAAATGTAAATAAAATCAGAATGCAATGATTTGCAAATCTAATAAATCTTATTCACACACAGAACACAAATCAGATGTAGAAACAGTTGAGACAGGGGCAACAAAAGGCTGGAAAAGTGGTACTAATAAAATTTGCAAATATCTCACATGACTGGGTATGAATAGAGGATAGGGAGGCAGAGTCTCTCAGAAGCAAAGATGGACAGAGGTTCACCAATCTGCAAAAAACTGTGTCTAAAAATTGTGGAACAAGTTCAGAAAAATGTTCCTCAATGTAAAATTGTGAAGACTTTGGATATTCCACCATCTACAGTACATAATATCATCAAAAGGTTCAGAGAATCTGGAGAAATCCCTGAACGCAAGGGACAAGGCCAACGGTCAATATTGGATGGTATGGTATTCTGAGGCACTATCAATGCTGAACAGTATATGAAGGTTTTAGAACAACATATGCTACCATCCAGACAGCGTCTCTTTCAGGGAAGGCTTGCATATTTCAGCAAGACAATGCTAAACCACACACTGCATCCATCACAACAGCATGGCTTCACAGAAGAAGAGTCCTGGTGCTGAACTGGTCGCTTGCAGTCCAAACCTTTCACCAATAGGAAACCTTAGGCACATCATGAAACGAAAAATCCGGCAGAGAAGACCCAGGACTGTTGAGCAGCTAGAATCCTACATCAGACAAGAATGGGACAACATTCCTCTCCCAAAACTCCAGCAATTGGTCTCTTCACTTCTCAGGCGTTTACAGACTGTTGTTAAAAGAATAGGGGATGCTACACAATGGTAGACACGGCCCTGTCCCAACTTTTTTGAGATGCGTTGCTGCCATCAAGTTCAAATGAGTTGATGTTCTTCATGAAATGGTAAAATGTCTTTTTTGGAACTGGGGTTGTATATTAAGGTGGTAGGAGAGTTGCTAATCTTCTTGAATCGTTATTTATCGATCTCTTCCTTGCTACAGGAGTATAATCAACTAGCCCTGCCACATAGACCTACTCTCTTCCAGTTCATCTACTGCCAGAAATGCTGGAAGATTCTCTCCCTGGACTCTTCACTGAAAGTATTGCAGAAACGTTTTGAACACTTTCTACGTCTCTCTGACGAACATCCTGGTCCCATGATACATCTCTCTTTGGTCACCTCACCTACGTGTTTCTGCTCGCCACTGTATGACTTCCCCTCCATTCGCCTTCTTTTTTAAATGTTACGTTTCCAGTTTGCTGGCTCTCTTTTCCTTTTCACCTGGTGAATTTCATCCTCATATGAATCACTGCCAGGAACTACAATAAAACCATAAAATGACACAACAAAATTAGTAAAGTACTATAACAACACATAGGAAAATATTTTTTTCTATTATAGCAAGACTTTGTTCTGACCAATGTTTGTAGCAACAAAATGTTAAACCACTGTCACATCAGTCCTCGGTGCAGACTGGCTGTGCTGTTAAAACTTTTTTTTTTCCCCATGACAGTTTTTATGATCTTCCAAGCAGAACAAAACCACAATCAGAAAGTCCTCCTCCTGAAAACCTGATGTACTGTGATAATGTTTAGCGTGCAGTATGTTATTAAGATGCTGCCATGTATGTTTTAGGAGAAACAATTACTCTCTAAATTATCAAAGCTTTTCCATGTACACACAAAATTGGCCATATCAAGCAAATCAATCAGAGTGAGCAAATAGGAAGCTACTACAGAGATGGACATGAGACCTGAAGTCACACAGAAGACTCTGCAGAGGCGACTAAAGAAAAAACCCATGAGCTTTATCTGCCTACTGCTCATAACGGCTTGATTTTGATCTCAGAATGATGAGGATGAATTAAAATATGAAATGATTCAGTAGTTTTGTAGTATACAGGGTTGGCCTTGCAAATCACACACGCAGAAACTATAAAATAGAATAGAAAGTAGAAATGTCATGTTAAACTTGGATTTTTCACATATTGAGTATTTATTGGGTATATTAGATATATTTCTAGCAATAGCTGATTTAATGCTGCCATCTGTTGGTGAGAATATGTAATGTTGAACGTTACTGAAGATAAATGTTCACTGAGTTGTACTTCTGCTTAAAGCATTTTTATTACTATTAGATTATTTTTTATTTTATTTATTACTCCACCAGGTATTGTTATGAGAATCGGAATAGGCTTGCAAATTACTGTATCTGTAGAGGAATTTAAGAAGGAACTATGCATATATACACCGATCATGCATAACATTATGACCACCTCCTTGTTTCTACACTCATTGTCCATTTTATCAGCTCCACTTACTATATAGGTGCACTTTGTAGTTCTACAGTTACAGACTGTAGTCCATCTGTTTCTCTGCATACTTTGTTAGTCCCCTTTTACCCTGTTCTTCAGTGGTCAGGACCCCCATGGACCCTCACAGAGCAGGTACTATTTGGGTGGTGGATCATTCTCAGCACTGCAGTAACACTGATGTGGTGGTGGTGTGTTAGTGTGTGTTGTGCTGGTACGAGTATAGTGCACTATACCCACTATATCCAATATTACAATTTTTAACATTTGTAATATTGTAATAATACTGTTTTTCATCAATTGTTTTTAGTAAAGGTTTGATATTACTACTTGTGGTGTAAAGTATCTGAGTCTATGAAATGCACTCATACATGCCCTTATTTTTGCCAGAGACAAAGAGAGTTAGTGACCTCATAGAAAATGCAGAATCATTTACATACAGGCTAATGAAGCTGAATCGGTATCAGTAATTTGTATAAACTAGCATCAAATTACATAAGTGTAAATAGATTGATGTTACTATGAACACTAAGCATAAATAGTAACATCATGCTATTTACACTAAGTACTCAGTATCTGCCACCATTTTTTATCCAGATATTGTTCATGTGTGCTGTTGAGTTTTTTAATACTGTGACACAGTACTTATGGGAAAATGTAATATTTGAATTAAGATGCATTGAGCTTCAGTGCTCTAATCTGTTTCTCTTCAATGCTCATTCTAACATTAAACAACACTAGATCTAATCTTTAAATGCCCCTTTCTAGTTTAATTGTATTAATTTTCAATATTTCATGTATCACACTGTGCAATATAATTCAGTTCAGGAGTTTTTTTATTTTTCTTCCAGGGCGGGGCTTACTGCCTTACTGTGAGACTTCCTGCTAAAATTGCTTTCATTTTCAATCCTGTCAGTCTTGTTCTTCTTTTTGTTTTATTACTTACTGTATTAGTCATGAAAAACATGTCTGTCTTATGTCTTCTTTTACATCTTCAGCACTGTGTGGACTGGTGAGTAAAAACATCTAGGCCTGCATTTTGTAGGACTGTTTCAGATCTTATGCCCAAGATTGTTCTTACATAAGAGATCTTATTTAGAGATCTTAGAGTGGTTGAACAGCAGCTAAGCTCATACTTGCTTATAGGAATCATATGCATCAAATACTTCAGTCAGGTTTTATGTATCATCACAGTAGAGAGACTGAACCAAATGATTTATTACAACCCAATCTCTTTGATCATCTTTTTTTGTAAATATATATTTAATGAATATACAGGCCTCAGTTTTGAGAACTTCACTGTTTTCCTTGTACATGCTATGTACTTACTTCCTTGTTTCTTAGACTCCTCCTCTAAACTGATGAGCACTGAGGCACATTTTAATTCTAGTTGTCATTTTCCATCAGAAATTCTTTCCCCATAGCATCCAAAAGACTTAGTATTAATCATTAGATTTCAGACAGTCTGAATGGGACAAATTTGGGCAGGGGCGGGCCCAAAGTTTCATTACACACTTCTATAACCTAAGAATAGCTCAGCCAGTTTGCATCGGAGTCCCTGTAGTTACTGAATAGTAAGCCTTAGTATGTAATAAGCCTGGGATTTTAAAGGGTTAAAAGAATGCCCATTCCCCATGATGCATTGTCACATCTCCACAATATTATTTAGCAGGGCATCACCATTGGCATTACAATGTAGTCCAAGGCTTGACTGGATCAATGAATGGAAAACTGTCATATAATGTCATAAAATAGGCTGTGGAGTTGCTGGATTCTGATGCATTTTTTATTAAAGCCACCAATAATGTAGTAATAAATAACAGACTTTATATAGGAAGTAGGCATGAATATTTATTAGCATACCTGTTCTGTATTGCATATCAGCACCAGGCCATTATTATTTCTTTTTTACCCTCAGCAGATTCAGAGTCTCTAAGTCTGTGCGTCAATTTGGTTAAATCCAGTGGCTTTAACCTCCCTGAGTACATACACAAGAACACTCTGAACGATGTGACCATCTTCTACTACGACAGTAACATGGATTCTAAAATGCCCTGTCCTGACTGGATCAACAGCCCTGCAGGAAAACAGGAGTGGACAAATATGCAGCTTCGAGTAGACCGCATCAGACGCTTCATTACTCTGGGATTTGAGTCAGCTGTTCAGCAGTTTAACCTGACCGGTACTGCACTTCTTTAATGTACTCTCACAACCAGACATACTGCTTACATAACCAGCACAAAAGATTAAACAAGTAATGAAGCTTTTACCATATTTCACACAGGCCTAACAGTCATTAGGGAAAATAACTAGCTGACCCACTCACAGTTAGCAAGACTAGCTTGCTAGCACAGAGCAACATACCTAAAACAGTTAGCTAACTACATAAATTAATGTTACGTTCATGGTGTAACTTCATTTTATATATAATCCGGAGTGTTTTTATTCACTTTGTCTATCATTATGAAGCAAATTTATTAATTTACTGCTTACAAGGCTAGTTAAAATAGCTGCTAGCTAACTCATGAATGCATGAATGCTAACTCAGCAGAATCCATGATCAAGTGTTTCCAGAGTTTCACTCAGAGATTTTCACATGAACTACATTTACTGCTGATTTCAATACCATTTTAACAAGCCCTCATCAGCTTCTCTTGGGTAATCCTTGAGGCCATCTTAAAGCCCATTCCATTACTTTCGTTTATCAGTCTAAACACCAGCCCCTTAACAGCAGTTGCCTTTGCTGACAGCAGTAAATCATATGGAGCCACAGGCCCTGGAGTGGGGAGAGTTTCAAAGTTCATGGCATCCCAACTTTAAGATTAAGATTTTTATTTGAAGCTGAAAAAGATTCTCTGGACACAGCCAGAAATCCGGATTGCAGAAAGGTACAGATACATTAGATGCTACCACACTGGTTGTGTTTACATGCAAAAATTTTTGCCTATTCGATTGAATACAATCCGCTTACAGATTCAGACTGAGGTGTTTATGCTCACTCTGCTCAACAAGCTGATGGAAAATCTCTGTTTACATGCACACTACGAGTAATCTGATCCAAAATGACACACATGCGTAGAGCATCACCTGCCATGACAGTGAGCATCACATGAGGTCCAGTCAGAGTGAAACAAGTTTTCAGCTGGCATGCTTGTGTTTTTAATTGCATTGAAATTATGGCAGAAAAATGTGCTTCATGTGTATTAAGAAAGCGACAAGAGGAAGACGTCATACATAAGCTGTTTTAAGTTCAAAGCTTCCTCTGCAGACCAGTTTCTGTTCCTACCATGTTGAACGTTATACACTTTCACTATGACGCGACACACATGTGCAGAATGTACTTATGCATTCCAACTGGGAATGTAACCAGATGCAAGCATTTACGTTGTTATTATTCTTCTATTTAGCGGATTATTTGCAGAATTATCCACCTCGTTTAATTGGATAGAAATTGTATTCCGAATGGCTTCAATCAGACTGGTCTATTCTAAATATGATGTATACATGGACATATTCTATTCCAATTGAGCTATTAGTCAGATTATTAGGCTGCATGTAAACGTGGCTAATGTCACCATTACAGCTTCCTGCTGTGGTTTAGCTGAGCTGCTGCAGCCTGCCGCACTCCTCTCACCCCCTAAACTGTTATATACAAGGTCAAGAGGAAAATAACATTATCTGTCTGGTTAAAGTAACTGTAGGCATTGTGTCACTTTAGGGCTGGAATTATTGCTATGATTAAAATATGCAAACCCATCAGCAGTAGTGCTATCAGGTCAGGAATGCTCAATTCTGGCAAGGCCCTCACCAAGGATGCCTCCTCTCGCCACTGTTGTAACAAGACAGAATGACACAGACACTCACGGGTAAAAGTAGAATGAGAGGCTTTACTGATGAAAACACAATCCAAAATCAAAGTCAATACACAGGCATAGGGCAACAAAAAACACAGAAGCACAAACATACAGGCAAACAATCCGAAAAAGGGTCTGGCAAAAGGTAAGTCTAAAACAGGGCAAAAAGTCAGAACCAGAATAACAAACAGATATGAATGCTCAGTAGCTCTAGAAACAGAATCAGTACCTCACAAAGAACCTACCCTGCAAGCCTGGGCTTTATACTAAACTAATTAATGAGTTGCAGGTGGACCTGATCAGTACTCTGGAGAGCTAGAGCGCTGATTGGAGCATGAGAGTGAGGCAGGAGTCATGTGATCCCCCAGGGGATTCTGGGATATGGAGTCCAAATACATTGTATACATTGTAATGCTCTTATTATACTAATTGTTTACATTGTAATGCTCTTATTATACTAATACTCTTATATCGTTTTATATTTAATTGTAAAGTTGTCCCAGATGTTTTTTTCCTGTGGCGTCTATGTAGATGAAGCCAAGTGAGTTCTCTAATTAATAGAGTCTAACATTAGCCTTACATGTTAGATTATTTAACACCATAATTGTAAGAGACAGTGGAATCAACCAATATTGTGTTGATTTCCTATGTGTGGGACCAATTTAGTGAGAAATGTTCAACTGTTCATGTCACCTGGAGCAGCCAAATGTCGGTGGCAGATAGATAGATAGATAGATAGATAGATAGATAGATAGATACTTTATTGATCCCGAAGGAAATTTAGCAGCCAGTAGTAGTCACACAACATAGGACAGTAAATATTAATAAGGGTGAAAACAATATAACAGGAAGAATAAATATAAAAATCCTATCTACAGGCATATATACAAATAGAAAAATACAAAAATTTGCAATAATATCTATAACTTGAGATGAAAAAGGCAGTGCAATAATGAGGCACAGGTAACAGAATATAATGATAATACTGATTAAATATGTGCATATATTGGTACTGAAATAAAAGATGCACGATAGGGGGTGCAGAAAGTGCAATATGTACAGTAAGGTGTCCACATGTGCAGATTGATAAAATAAACCTAAGATTTAGCATGAGATAAACCTATGATTTAACATGAGATTCAGATTCAATCCTCATCTCTCCTCTTCCCTCTTCTCTCTTCTCCTCTTCTTCTGGCCCCACTGGGAAGAGTTGAAGAGCCTGATGGCCCTAGGGACAAAGGATCTCCTGAATCAGTCAGTTGAGCAGCTCTGTGACAACAACCTGCCACTAAATGTGCTCCTCTTGTCCATGATGATGGTGTGCAGTGGGTGGCCATCATCCTCCATAATGGAGAGAGATAAATAAGAGATAAATGGAAATAAGCAGAAACAAGCAATATTGATGTCATTCCCTCTGTTTTTGACATTTATGGCCCAAACTCAACGACTAGGTCTAATAGTTATGGTTCATCACTTGACACTTGACATCTTTGACACTAATTTGTAGATTAGTCTAATGTTTTATACTAATCATTCATTTGATTTTTTGATAAAAATCATACATGCAGGGCCTTTTAATACATAATAATGGGTAGACTAGGCTTTCAGCCAGTCAGTAGACATTACCCACCCCTACATATAGCCTTGCTATCTCTGAAGTAATATTCCTCTCTCTTGTCTTCCATTTTAGGCTCTTTGGCTGGCAGTAACATGTACCAGTCAACAGGCTGCTGTTACCTCTATCCAAACGGAACACACAAGTCATCATTGACTCACACATTCAATGGAAAGGACTTCTTAAGCTTTGATTTTGAAAGAAAGACATTTGTTTCTGCAGTTCCTGAAGCAGTTGTTTATAAACACCAAAGGGACAGAGATGAAGTCAATCTCCACGTCTTAACAAATGTCTTCAAAACATTGTGCTGGGAGCACATTAACATATTCAAGCGTGCTCCTAGAGTCAGCATCAAAAAAGGTCAGCTAAATGTTACTCTGTAACTACTTTGTAGCATTTATACTGTTTTCTCTTGAGTAATTAATTAATTATTAAATTGATTATATTACTACAAGATATTGCTATTTTATTTTATGGAAGGTTAAGGCATTTTTAATCATTATCCAGTTCCAGAAGTCAGGATCTTTGAGAAACAGCAGGCCGGCTCCATCACAGTCACATGTCATGTGACGGGGTTTTACCCCCGGGCAGTTCAGATAGACTGGCTCGGTCCAAATCTGCATCCTGTGGATGGAGGGGTCACTGATGTGCTGCCCAATGAGGACGGCACATACCAGACCAGAAAGAGTGTGGCAGTTCCAGAGGAGGATGTAGGAAAACACACCTACAGCTGTGTAGTGCTTCATAGCAGCGTAGCACACAACATCACCACAGTCTGGGGTAGGATGACTCCTGCACATTACGAGGAGAATTTCCTTTGTTTCATAATTTCTGCACAACTAAACTGTTAATATGTACACAAATTAAAGTGAAAAGAGTGACTTACCATCAGATTTTGATGTGAAATGCTCCATTCTAGAGAAACCAGGATCAGACTACATGAATTCGGCCCGATTTTGACACAGCTGACAATGTCCGGCCTGAATATGAGCTTTGGGAAAGGGTCTTGCAGTAATTAAGCACATAATTGAAGAATAGTGATGTTGTGCCAATGACACCCTGACTAAACTTCTAGCACGTGCTGTGAATATTTAGGTGGAACTCAGGGGGGCGAGTTCTCATGGTTTAATGGGGCGGGGGGGGGGGGGGGGGGGGGGGGGGGAGGGGGGTGCTTGCTTTAGTGATTGAAATTTGAATTTTTTGGACAACCGTACATCCTTTTTCCTAACAACAAGACATTTTCCACACATTTTTGATGCCTTGGGGTGAATATTAAGGGAATTTATGAACGGTCAAAAAACGCACACGAAGGTAAGACTATAGCCTTAGGTATTTTGGGAAATTTGGCGCATATCACATGTTCATTTTATGATGGAATTTGAATTGTTTGGACAAAATACATCATGGTCATACGTTTTCCAACACATTTGATGCCTTGGGGTGAATATTAAGGGAATTTAGGAACGGTCAAAAAACGCACACGAAGGTAAGACTATAGCCTTAGGTATTTTGGGAAATTTGGCGCAATATCACATGTTCATTTTATGATGGAATTTGAATTGTTTGGACAAAATACATCATGGTCATACATTTTCCAACACATTTTGATGCCTTGGGGTGAATATTAAGGGAATTTATGAACGGTCAAAAACGCACACGAGGTAAGACTATAGCCTTAGGTATTTTGGGAAATTTGGCGCAAATCACATGTTCATTTTATGATGGAATTTGAATTGTTTGGACAAAATACATCATGGTCATACATTTTCCAACACATTTTGATGCCTTGGGGTGAATATTAAGGGAATTATGAACGGTCAAAAAACGCACACGAAGGTAAGACTATAGCCTTAGGTATTTTGGGAAATTTGGCGCAATATCACATGTTCATTTTATGATGGAATTTGAATTTTTGGACAAAATACATCATGGTCATACATTTTCCAACACATTTTGATGCCTTGGGGTGAATATTAAGGGAATTTAGGAACGGTCAAAAAACGCACACGAAGGTAAGACTATAGCCTTAGGTATTTTGGGAAATTTGGCGCAATATCACATGTTCATTTTATGATGGAATTTGAATTGTTTGGACAAAATACATCATGGTCATACATTTTCCAACACATTTTGATGCCTTGGGGTGAATATTAAGGGAATTTAGGAACGGTCAAAAAACGCACACGAAGGTAAGACTATAGCCTTAGGTATTTGGGAAATTTGGCGCAATATCACATGTTCATTTTATGATGGAATTTGAATTGTTTGGACAAAATACATCATGGTCATACGTTTTCCAACACATTTTGATGCCTTGGGGTGAATATTAAGGGAATTTAGGAACGGTCAAAAAACGCACACGAAGGTAAGACTATAGCCTTAGGTATTTTGGGAAATTTGGCGCAATATCACATGTTCATTTTATGAGGAATTTGAATTGTTTGGACAAAATACATCATGGTCATACATTTTCCAACACATTTTGATGCCTTGGGGTGAATATTAAGGGAATTTAGGAACGGTCAAAAACGCACACGAAGGTAAGACTATAGCCTTAGGTATTTTGGGAAATTTGGCGCAATATCACATGTTCATTTTATGATGGAATTTGAATTGTTTGGACAAAATACATCATGGTCATACATTTTCCAACACATTTTGATGCCTTGGGGGTGAATATTAAGGGAATTCAGGAACGGTCAAAAAACGCACACGAAGGTAAGACTATAGCCTTAGGTATTTTGGGAAATTTTGCGCAATATCACATGTTCATTTTATGATGGAATTTGAATTGTTTGGACAAAATACATCATGGTCATACATTTTCCAACACATTTTAATGCCTTGGGGTGAATATTAAGGGAATTTAGGAACGGTCAAAAAACGCACACGAAGGTAAGACTATAGCCTTAGGTATTTTGGGAAATTTGGCGCAATATCACATGTTCATTTTATGATGGAATTTGAATTGTTTGGACAAAATACATCATGGTCATACGTTTTCCAACACATTTTGATGCCTTGGGGTGAATATTAAGGGAATTTAGGAACGGTCAAAAAACGCACACGAAGGTAAGACTATAGCCTTAGGTATTTTGGGAAATTTGGCGCAATATCACATGTTCATTTTATGATGGAATTTGAATTGTTTGGACAAAATACATCATGGTCATACGTTTTCCAACACATTTTGATGCCTTGGGGTGAATATTAAGGGAATTTAGAACGGTCAAAAAACGCACCGAAGGTAAGACTATAGCCTTAGGTATTTTGGGAAATTTGGCGAATATCAAGTTCATTTTATGATGGAATTTGAATTTTTTGGACAAAATACATCATGGTCATACTTTTCCAACACATTTTGATGCCTTGGGGTGAATATTAAGGGAATTTAGGAACGGTCAAAAAACGCACACGAAGGTAAGACTATAGCCTTAGGTATTTTGGGAAATTTGGCGCAATATCACATGTTCATTTTATGATGGAATTTGAATTGTTTGGACAAAATACATCATGGTCATACATTTTCCAACACATTTTGATGCCTTGGGGTGAATATTAAGGGAATTTAGGAACGGTCAAAAAACGCACACGAAGGTAAGACTATAGCCTTAGGTATTTTGGGAAATTTGGCGAAACATCACATGTTCATTTTATGATGGAATTTGAATTGTTTGGACAAAATACATCATGGTCATACATTTTCCAACACATTTTGATGCCTTGGGGTGAATATTAAGGGAATTTAGGAACGGTCAAAAAACGCACACGAAGGTAAGACTATAGCCTTAGGTATTTTGGGAAATTTGGCGCAATATCACATGTTCATTTTATGATGGAATTTGAATTGTTTGGACAAAATACATCATGGTCATACGTTTTCCAACACATTTTGATGCCTTGGGGTGAATATTAAGGGAATTTAGGAACGGTCAAAAAACGCACACGAAGGTAAGACTATAGCCTTAGGTATTTTGGGAAATTTGGCGAAACATCACATGTTCATTTATGATGGAATTTGAATTGTTTGGACAAAATACATCATGGTCATACGTTTTCCAACACATTTTGATGCCTTGGGGTGAATATTAAGGGAATTTAGGAACGGTCAAAAAACGCACACGAAGGTAAGACTATAGCCTTAGGTATTTTGGGAAATTTGGCGCAATATCACATGTTCATTTTATGATGGAATTTGAATTGTTTGGACAAAATACATCATGGTCATACATTTTCCAACACATTTTGATGCCTTGGGGTGAATATTAAGGGAATTTAGGAACGGTCAAAAAACGCACACGAAGGTAAGACTATAGCCTTAGGTATTTTGGGAAATTTGGCGCAATATCACATGTTCATTTTATGATGGAATTTGAATTGTTTTGGACAAAATACATCATGGTCATACATTTTCCAACACATTTTGATGCCTTGGGGTGAATATTAAGGGAATTTAGGAACGGTCAAAAAACGCACACGAAGGTAAGACTATAGCCTTAGGTATTTTGGGAAATTTGGCGCAATATCACATGTTCATTTTATGATGGAATTTGAATTGTTTGGACAAAATACATCATGGTCATACGTTTTCCAACACATTTTGATGCCTTGGGGTGAATATTAAGGGAATTTAGGAACGGTCAAAAAACGCACACGAAGGTAAGACTATAGCCTTAGGTATTTTGGGAAATTTGGCGCAATATCACATGTTCATTTTATGATGGAATTTGAATTGTTTGGACAAAATACATCATGGTCATACATTTTCCAACACATTTTGATGCCTTGGGGTGAATATTAAGGGAATTTAGGAACGGTCAAAAAACGCACACGAAGGTAAGACTATAGCCTTAGGTATTTTGGGAAATTTGGCGAAACATCAAAGGTTCATTTTATGATGGAATTTGAATTGTTTGGACAAAATACATCATGGTCATACATTTTCCAACACATTTTGATGCCTTGGGGTGAATATTAAGGGAATTTAGGAACGGTCAAAAAACGCACACGAAGGTAAGACTATAGCCTTAGGTATTTTGGGAAATTTGGCGCAATATCACATGTTCATTTTATGATGGAATTTGAATTGTTTGGACAAAATACATCATGGTCATACGTTTTCCAACACATTTTGATGCCTTGGGGTGAATATTAAGGGAATTTAGGAACGGTCAAAAAACGCACACGAAGGTAAGACTATAGCCTTAGGTATTTTGGGAAATTTGGCGCAATATCACATGTTCATTTTATGATGGAATTTGAATTGTTTGGACAAAATACATCATGGTCATACGTTTTCCAACACATTTTGATGCCTTGGGGTGAATATTAAGGGAATTTAGGAACGGTCAAAAAACGCACACGAAGGTAAGACTATAGCCTTAGGTATTTTGGGAAATTTGGCGCAATATCACATGTTCATTTTATGATGGAATTTGAATTGTTTGGACAAAATACATCATGGTCATACATTTTCCAACACATTTTGATGCCTTGGGGTGAATATTAAGGGAATTTAGGAACGGTCAAAAAACGCACACGAAGGTAAGACTATAGCCTTAGGTATTTTGGGAAATTTGGCGCAATATCACATGTTCATTTTATGATGGAATTTGAATTGTTTTGGACAAAATACATCATGGTCATACATTTTCCAACACATTTTGATGCCTTGGGGTGAATATTAAGGGAATTTAGGAACGGTCAAAAAACGCACACGAAGGTAAGACTATAGCCTTAGGTATTTTGGGAAATTTGGCGCAATATCACAGGTTCATTTT